CTACAAGTCATAGCTGACATTTGAGTTAGCTGTTAGATATTTGAGTTAGATGTTTCAAGATGTGATCGAGAATCAAATTTCTATAATCGATTAGTGACCCTAAACATATGATAGTGACCCTAAACATCATATGTTGTTTACTTTTTGGTATGTTTAGATTGCAATTGGGACATTATATTATACATATGAACCCCATCCGATATGGCAATCCGATCTTAAGTACGTGTCCCTGGGCAATCCGATCTTAAGTACATATTCCCGATTTCTGCTATTCGACATGGATTTTAGCCTTCTGATATGAGCCCGACATCCGATATTTAAAACATTGCTTGGTACCAACTACCAAGCACAAACTTTGTGCTTGGTAGTGAGGTGGTTCATTCTCATTCACTCATTTAAATGGTCTCCACTTGAAATGATCACCTTTAATTATCCAACTCATGTGAATGTGGTTCCCCCTAAGATGAGTGGATGGAATGTGACATCTCACTACTAAGCACCAAGTTTGTGCTTGGTACCAAGCATACTCATATATGTTAGCTTATTTGTCTACATATATTTTTTTTGTTTATACTATCGCATAAAAGAATACTAATGGTATAATTATGCAGATGATGGTCAAGAGGCAGTGAATGATGATGCTCCAGAGAATAACCCACAATATACTACTGTCTATGTTGGTAACCTTTCTCCTGAGGTGAGCGGTCATCTTATCTTGATACTTGCATCTGTTCTATAGACATGTTTTTGGAGTTCTTCATTCTACTCTTTGCTTCTTTGTTCGCACTAGTTTTATGCATGTGCAAGTGCACATGCCAATGGTCTTATTTATGACACTTTGGAATCTGGATGAAGGCCAAAGACTATATATTTGTTTTTCCACAACTTTTCACATTATTTTTCAAAGTTAGCTCACCTTCTTTCGGAGTTCATGGATCCTTCATAAAATTAGCATTTTCTACTTTCCCATCTGAGAATTTGACAGAGATGAGAAGTCACATAACATGTGGTGGACTTCTCATCAAACTTATTCCTGTAGTAGTTGTCTTTTTACCGCCTCCTTTGTGTATTGTGGGAATATTTACAGTGTCAAATAAATGGCAGGTTACACAAGTGGATCTGCACCGTTTCTTTTATTTGCTTGGTGCTGGACAACTCGAGGAGGTCAGAGTACAGCGGGATAAAGGATTTGGGTTTGTAAGATATAGTAATCATTCTGAAGCTTCACTGGCTATTCAGATGGGAAATGCAAAGCTTCTTGGCGGGAAGCCAATCAGGGTAATTTTGGAATTAAGCTGTCTTCTAACATAGAGAAAAATAATTAGTTACTGCTTCCATGTACATTGTGAATACTGAAGACTGATGAGGACTGATAAACATGATTCAACTAGAAAATATTACTATCATCACGCTATTACTTAGGGAAAATCAATTTCTAGTGTGGAAATCAGTAAAGATGTTAAAAACCATAGATGAGTGTTGAACCTATGCAATCAATTGTGAGCATGAAATGTAAGGTAAACAAACTAGATGGTCATAAGATTGTGAAAATGTTCGAGATTGTTGGCAAACATGTTCTGAATGTTAAATGTGGTCAAAGGACATTACTGTTGAAAGTGAACTAGACTTGATGTTGCGACATGATTAATCTTTCAATTCTTGATATTGTATTGAGCCCGTGCCTTGCTCACTGTTCTTTTTGGGATATATGTCACATTAATCTTGTTCTCTGCAGTGTTCATGGGGAAGCAAGCCAACTCCACCAGGGACAGCTTCAACCCCTCTTCCACCTCCAGCACCTGCTCCATTCTCCGCACTCTCTGCAACTGATCTCCTCGCTTACGAACGTTCTGTTGCCTTGAGCAAGATGACAGCAGCCAACCAAGCCCTTCTTCAAGCTCAAGTCCCGAATGCTTTCAAGCAAGCTGCTGCCATGGGACTCAGCGCTGGAGCTAGCCAAGCCATCTATGATGGTGGATTTCAAAATGCACAGCAGCTTATGTATTTCCAGTGATATGATATTGGAGGCTGTCTCCTTTCTTTGATTATTATATGCTTTTTTAAAAAGATTTTATTCGCGTTCCTACAATTATATATGTTTTGTTATCTATTTGATGCTCTACCCCGGTTAGGATTTGTTTGTAATAGATCTGGAAATTGTACGGATATATGTAACTGTGCGAGTTATATCTAGATGATGTATTATGTGTGTGGAGTGGGGTGGGGGCTTAGCATGGCTTTTCGTTTTAGTATGGATTATTATTATGCTTGCATGTTTACCTTTTGGTTTTTTTTGTATGGGGATTGTTACGCTTGGTCAACTTTATGGTATGTGCATATTGTTCCTCTTAGGGCATTATGTGTTATCGGGCGAGCCTATTAGGTCATATGGCAAAGTTGTATTGCTCCCTCATGGGCTTAATTTCTGTCTGCGCCGAAGCCTCGATTAAAAAAAAAAGCCTTCAACATGTTTTCTGTTTGTGTATGCTCTGCGGGCGCAAATTTAGCTCTGCTCTATGGAATTCCTGCTCTTAAGTTTCGTCTCTTATCGTCATTTATGCTGCTGCTCATTTATAGTAAGAGAAAAGTAAATGAAAACTGAAAATTACTTCATGATTAAGGGCCTTTTCACACCGTTTCAGCACTTCGAGCTGGGTTATTTGCACTTTGGTATCCCAAAATGTAAACAACTTTTTTACTTTGATACCCCGAAGTTTTAGTTGGACCGATCCTACCCCAAAGTCGCACCGTTTTAAAAGTTCAAAACCTAAAATCATAAGACATAGAACTGTCATGAACTAGCTTGCTGATTCCTTTTGTTAATCGCGGCCGAAAACACCGAGTCTCATTGGGTTTGATTTATGAGTGGCCTAATTTTAGGCTTCTGACCGCGACCAAATTTGAAAAGAAATGTTTTCCATTCAATCCATCACAAAACACACGTCTTTGGTCGGGTACAAGCTTTTGGAAGGCCTTTGCCCAATTTGCCCATGAAAGGGATTGCCCCGAAGCATTAATTGTTTGGAGGGCCATGGGCTTGACCAAATTTACTACTCTACGCATGAGTGGGGGAAACGGTTAACTTCACAAAACCCCCCTGAACTTTGAGGGGATTTTGCACTTAGTCCTCTGATTTCTTCCCCTAAAAAACCATTTCTAAATTTTGGCGTGTCTCAGAAGACACCCTTAAATTTGAGGATTTCCCCAATAGATTCCCTGACGATGTTGAGGGTTAAATGAATATAAAGTGAGTTATGGGCTTGGAGTCACATATATACGACACTAGTATGGCTTGGTCATACAAAGGCGACTAGATTTCTCTGCAAAATGTTTAAGTTGAGACATTCGTAACATATTCGAACCGGACCCGATCAAAGATATGTATTTATGAGCATGTCATCCTTTTGTAAACGATTTTTGCTACATAGACCCAAAATATGGGACAAACAGGGAGGGAACAGGTGAGGCGTCCCCCTCTTATTACATAATGAGCTGACCATCATTAATAATGATCAGCTCATTATGCAATAAGAGGGGGACGTCTCACTTGTCCCCCCCTGTTGGTCCCATATTTTGGGTCCTTGGAGAATTTTTCTTTGTAAACCAGTGAACGTATCCTCCTACTCTATGCACTAACTACGCTCGCGTCAAGGCCCGTAAAAAAAAATGCGTCCTTAATTCCTTTCTCACCATAGAATTATTCTCCCCCTTCCCAAAACCAATAAAGATCAAGACAAACAAACATAAGTTCTCGGCAACTTCATCCGCATCCCCAAATTATTACACCGTGGGTCCATAATTATATACATTTGTGAAAAACGTGTGAAAGTCTTTAAAGAAGCGTTAGGTTTCATGACGTGGGGGCATTTCCAAATTAGAGACAACATTTTATCATCTTCCGACAATCTTCTCTACTACTATTTGGTGAATTAATTCCATATCAACACCTAAAGGCATCATGAATCCCTCACTGATCTCCATTGCTTTTGCTTGAAGGGAGCTATCTCTGCCGAAACATCTGGTTTTTAAATGGATTTGTTGGGCTCCCACTTGAAAAAACTTTTGCTTTGGACACGTGATTATTTTTTTTAGTGGAGAAGTAGATTTCAAAGCAACTATAGCCTCTACAACTATTTCAAAATTGGTTAGTTTTTAGTCAGACTACAGAGGATCCATGATTTAGATCAATAACCTTAAAGTCTCACCTATGCTTAGATGAAGAATCGGCCTTATCATTACGTGCGTTAAGAAACAATGAAACAGGTTGATTAGTTTTATATAGTGTTAGAATATAAAACTATAATCTTTAATCCTCGTATAAACTTTAGAGTTCCGGTACAGAGGCGGAGTTTTTTGACATGACATTAGAGCAACACAAATTCGGATCCTGCTGACCACAGATTTAATGCAGGATTTTGAAAAATAGTTATTATTACTAGTTCAAATTTCAATCCATAAAAAAAAAAAACTACCCTTAAAAGCAGAAACTAACATTTAGATGCTCGATAAATGATGTATTAAAAATTAGAAGGCGGGAAAAAGAGAGGACAGCGTAGCATCACGTTCAGATTTGACTACTTAATGGATGCAAACGTGACTGCTTCAAGTTTCTACTCCTATCTTCGTTTGTTCGCTCGTCGAGGGAAAAGATGTCTTGGAATTTTTAGGAGAAGACGCGTGGTTGACCACTTGACATGGGCCTATTCTCATTTGAGTGTGGAATTTTTCAACCTTTACATAACTTGTACCATACTAATCAAACAAGCCAAAATATCAAAAATCAACAAAATGGGATAGTGAGTTTATGAGAATTAATGCTTAGCTTTCATATGCTTACTAGTATTAAGCCCGTACGTTGCTGCGGGTATTATTTACTTGGATATATCTATATCTGTCGCCAAATTGATAATATGGTTTTTATATATAACTGTTTATAAAAACTTCAGCAATAATTTTTATAACTATTGCTTATCGAGCGAATCTAAAAACTAATTAATAAAATAATATACCATTTAGTAAGTTCGAACCAGAGAATATATATATATATATTAAGGTTCTAACAATCATCCGCAATAAAACAACACAAAAAAGGTGATATGAATAGTATTTTCAAGGTTAAAAAATTGTACTTCAACGGCTGAAAAACGGCAAATTTACTGTAGCATAAACAATATCATTAAGCTTCCAAAAAATAGTGCATCATGAACAGTATTTAAGATTCAAAATTGTATGGCAGCATGAATAAATAATGTTCACTGTACATACAACGATGACTGTTCGCTTTTGCTTTTGAGTTAAAAAATAGTAGATGTTGATAGGATGATCATGAGCAAAGTTCCAAAACCAAGTGGTTATGTAAATTATTAATTTCCCACGAGCTCATGTGAAAAGTTACCTCTAATGGGAGACGAAGACGTGTGAACTTCAAAACAAGCCATTAAAAACACCGCACACCGACTCTAATTTGTAATAAAGAAACAAAGACGACCGAAAGGAAAACAATAATGGAAATAATAAAAACACACCAAGTATGAATAAGAATACAACATGATCCTTAATATAAGAAGATAAAAAAAAATATCTACTGTAGTACACATATGTCTTGCTTTAATTAACAATATGTTATATTCTTCTCAAACTAATCTCCTAGTCACCGAAATCAGCGTGAGTTGGTCATTAGCAATATTTTCTATCTCCTAGTTTCTCAAATCTTGGTTAATTTGGACTCGAGACCCCTCGTCGACCCAAACCAAGCCATGACTGCGTCTGATCAAGCTTTGCTAGATTCTCCCATTGATGAAGAGTTGCCATTTATTTGATACGGTGCTTTTGAAACGATCCTACATTTTTAAGTAAGATATAATTTTTTTTGTTAGAAATGTACGTATGTTATAACTTAGATGATTTAAGAAATTGAAGAAGATGATTAAAATAGAAGATACCGACCGATCTTTTCTTTTGGCAAAGAATCTATGGAGTGAAGCCCTCCTCGCAATTGGCATAGCCAAATCTGTTGTTTAAAAAAAGATAATATTTTATTACTTTAACTATACACCAAGCTTCAAAGACAAAGTTAGCCAAGTAAGTATTACAATGCAATTTTTTAACAAATCAAAGTTTTGAATGAGCAATATTTTTTTTAGGGAAACAAATGTTAATTAAGTAAATTTAGCCATCTATATATGATGAATACTTGTCCCAAAACCTTTTTTCCTAGCAAATTGTATGGCCAAAATATAGTGTTATCCTCTTTTTGAAATAAACCCACTGCAAACTTTTTTAGACCAAAGAAGACAAAAAGATTAAACAATAAATCAAACATTATGCCGACATATCATATTTTAACGGCATTTTTTAACTAGGCCAAGTTAATTACGCATAGCATATATTCTGAAGGCCCACGAACAAAGATGAACAAGATTACTCTACTTTGACGAAAACTTAACCCAAAATGATCAATTTTTAATGCGTCAAGAGACCAAACATATTTAAGCGTATACACATTTTGTTATTTTTTATTTTCATGTAGTGGAACAAAATCTAGACTCCAATAGCGAGGACATTTAAACCCATTTCAAGTTTGTAATCGGTTGGATTTGAAACCTACATTTTGCTTCAGCATCATGCTAAAAATTACTTTCACTGCACCAGAACTTTGAAGTTGCCATGAAAGTTAAAAGTTTATTATATTTCTATTTTCCCGTAATTAGCCTTCCGAATTCATATGAAAATTTTCAGAGAAATAACTACCAGAAGGACCGGACGTCGCCTGTTCCGGCTTGCTGCCCACCGTCGGGCTGCACACGGGCAACACCGAGCGGCGAGCTCCCTTTCGCTGCCAACTGCATCAAATTCTCCGCCTTCTCGGCCGGAAAATTATCGAACACCAACACTTTTCCGCAGTAAAATATTGTCAGCTGACCCTTCTCAAATTGTCTACAAAATTTACAAAAAAAAATGAATATATCTTCTTCTTTTTTTTGGTAATGCCTAAAAAAAACTGATTTATGTTGAAAATTTATTTTGTACTTGGTCTCTGTTTTAGTAGTGTCTGCGGGGGCGGAGCCAAAGCCAGTTTGTTGTGGGAACAAGTCCATGGGTTTTGCGGTGCTCTGTTCCGTAGCAGAAATAGTTTCGGTTTCGGCCGAGATGTTAGCTCCGGGTAACAAGCTCATAGTAGTAGATGCCCGAAATGATCCTAGGAATTTTTTTTATAAAAAAAAAGTCACTAACGCACATAACAAAATAACCAACAAGATACAAGAAAAAGAGAGGGAAAAAATAGTTAAGTTCGTATGTCTTAAATTAAATCCATCTAACCATTAAATCAAAACTTTAAAATTACGATAAAAGTCGAGGTTTGTATATTTATATTCTAATAGCATAAAATCGCAAAAAAAAAATTAATCTTTAAAGTTAGAGTGAACATACTACACGACTACACATTTATCTAACTGTCAAAAAGTCAATTGCTATTATAATTTAATATTGTGAAAGTACTACATGACTGCACATTTATCTAATCCTTGTTTATTAATCAGGACGTTAGGCGAAAAATGGATGATTTTTCGAATTTTTAATTTGTTTTTAAGTTTTAAGGGGTTTCCCCCTCCGTTGTTCAACCAAAATAAGGAGGAGGAGAAAATAAAATTTTACATACGAAAGAGAAATTTTCATGAAAAGGGTAAATAAAAAAAAAGTCACCTTTGGTGGGCTCTTGAGGCCTGGAGCCCATATCAAAAACTCCAAGCTCACCATTGATCCTCCTCTCCTTAATGAACTGGCTCAAGAGGCTGCACGTCACAGAGAAGTTAGACTTCTTTTCACTCATCTCTTACTGTCACCGGCGGAGAACCCGATCCAACCTCTCGGTTGCTTGTGCTCTTCTCTTCTCTCGTTAATCTCGGGTCTTGTTCCTCTTTTATAATTAAGACCGAGTCCTCCGTCTCGAAATTTTTTAAAGGCACGTGCGGAATTTGGAGCACGGGGAAAGAAAAGAAATACGTGGGCCAGACCACGGGTGTGGATAAGATGGGTTTTTTTTCTTTTTTATAAGGTGAGGTTGGTTTGTTTTTTTTTTTTTTTTGGGTGGGGTTTGGGTGGGGGGTGTAGGAGAGCAAATTGATACCACAGCAGTACATTGGCCCACAATCACGAGAGAGGGGAAGAATTTGCGTGTGAATTAAATTGTCAGAAGAAGAAAAGGAAAAAAAAAAGGGGGTTTTCAAGTTTAGTCCCTCAAGTTTTTAATATTCGTAGCCAATCAAATCATTGAAACTCGTATTAGATCCTCCGACTCTTATAAATTATTTTCAAACTAATATCTCCAGTTAAAAGCAGCACCGGCAAAAGATATAATAATTTGAGGACCTAATTGCCATTTCAATGGTTTCAAAATATTTAAGATTAAGGGACTAAAATCTGAAACGTATACCAAAAAAAAGTTAATAATAATGATGATGTAGCTAATGGTTCGTACCCTTAAAAATGTGAAGGTGGAGGCGTGAACTATGAGCATTATATGAAATTAGAGAACCTAAATGTTGAATGATATGAGGAACTAATTTCAGAATATTAAATATTTCATATCTGGGACTAATTAAAATGGGGAAAAGGGAAAAAAAGAAAAAGGACAATGTGCTGCATGTTGAACGAGTTTGCGTGAGGCTTGAGTCACGTAGTCGATGGTGTCGGTACTCTGAGAATTTAAGCGCGGAGGCAAGAAACATGAGGATGCAATTATGTACTTATAGCATTTTGTTTTTATGTACGTACGATTTTGTTTTTCTTTTACATCATGGGTTTTCTCTCAAAATGTTTGTTTGCTAATAAGTTTTGAACTTCTGCTACGGGGAACCATTAATTTCTTGAGGTTTGCTTCGGTGCTCCAAAAATAGGTTTTTTTTTTAATTTTTAAATTGACAAAAATAACAAATTAGCTAAAATAAGAAATGGTATTTTAGTCTTTCAAAAATCTCTTTCTCAATCTCACGTCTGAGTTCCACCGCACAAAAGGAAAAAAAAAGGGGGGAAAAAGAACCAGTTGATTTTTCTTACTTGTAGCTTCTCTTATTTTTGCATACTGATAGAAAATACATGTCATGCACGGTTTACAATTTTTTTCCATTCAATCAAATTTACTTCTCAATCTCACGAATGGGGTTTAATTAGAAACCAATTGAACCCTCCTCACGCTAGGCAGTCTATTTCCAAAAGAAAATCTATCTTTATATAGAAAAACAAATGATTACTGATTTGAAGAACGAGAAATTTAAGGGCTTAACAACTACATCATACTATATAATTAAATTTTTTAAAAAGGAAAAATAAGAGGTACCTTTCGTCGCTATATGTTATGTTATAGCGACGGAAATTTCCGTCACTATAATTCCGTAGGCAAAACTCTATTTTCTAGTAGTGCGAGGGTTACTTGAAACCGTCACTAGTAGAGTTCTAGTCCTCAAATTATCACAACTCAAGTGGTTGCTCAAGTATAGATTTCAATATAATTTATTTATTTTGGAAGAGAGATCTTACCCAATATTGGGTCTTGAACTAGGCCCTACTAATTTGGTAGCTTTTGGACATAAACCAGAAGTCCTTTTTAAGTCCGAAGTCAGGTGCACTTCACCCACTTGGGACACAGGCTGCTACTTTAGTTAAAGCTGCTTCAGACTCACATAATTTAACAAAGATCTGAGCCGGTTGAGTTGACAATTTCCACATAGACATTATGCCTTAAAGTAATCTAAAGTCTATCCATATTATTATTCCCCTTCGTTTTCGACATAGCACCGATATTTGAGTTATTCTATAGAAAATGTGAAGAGTTTTTTTTTTTTTGAAGCCAAAAACAGGGCGAGTAGCCCTGTTCATAATAATATATATATCACCAGTATTTACAGAAAAAACCTGAATTTGCCAAAAAAGGAGAGGGAAAGAAGCACAGTAGATGTAAACGGAGGAGAGCGGACCTTTGTCGTCATCCTCCAGTCTACACCTATCGAGCTTCCAAACCTTCCTTAATCCAGGAAAACTCAAAAAAACAAAAAATACTAACAAAAACTACCAAAACAACAACTGATTACATGTACATTACCAAAACACATTACCACAACTTGGTGTGCCAAAAGGACTCAGGAAGAGCTGAAGACTGCATGAACCGAAAGAAGCTACTACCCCATCAGCAAAGATATCTGGGGAGCTATGATTAACTGAGAAGGAGCAGCTGGGCACACGAACCCTTAGGGCTGATTATCTTCAAAATGTTCGTTCCGAGAAGATTCTGCTATCGCTGGCAGTCCTGAATTGAGAGCCGCATAATGCATCCTCTGAGATTTTTTGCTTTTGGAAGCCCCTGACCAGTAGAGAACAAAGCGGGAAGAATTAGCTGCAATAGAGGAGGGAGAAGAGTGAATGTTGTTGAAAATAAAGTTGTTACGACTGCTCCAAATGCACCAGCATGTACAAGGAAACAAAATCCTCCATAACTCTTTGTGATTCTGGTTAACCAAGAACTCTTCTTTTCCACTAATCAATAGTGTCACCTCCTGAGGCCATAGGCTAGTAGACGAAGATGGGAGCAAGATGGACCATACAGCTTGAGTAAAGGGGCATGATATAAACAGGTGATCATGAGTTTCCATCATCTGGCTACAGAGTGGGCAAGATGGGTCACCCGACCATCCTTTTTTGATCAAATTATCCTTTGTTTGAAGCTTCTTTTTGCTAAGAATCCATAGGAAGGTTTTAACCTTGAGAGGAGTAGGGGATCTCCAGATGAACTTATGGAAAGGGGATAAAAGTCCACCCTTGATGAGAATGTCGTAGAAAGATTTCACCGTAAATGAATTAGAAGGATTGAACGACCAGAGGATGGTATCAAATTTGTTTGGAACAAGCCTAATATGATCAATGAAAGCAGATAGATCTGAGATATTCTCATTTAGAATTTAATCTTACGATTTAGAAAAGAGATCTAAACATTTGTGACATTAAGATCAAACTATAAAAGAATAACTAGAACAGAATGTGATTATAGTACTTGTATCCGGTACAAAACTCAACTCTGTGTATATAGTAATAAAAGCTATAAGACTCTTCTTATATTTTCACTAGATCCCATCATTTTTTATGAACCAGCTTAGAATCGAATCCAAGATCGCGGAGCCACATTGGAACCTCCCAACCTCCTGCATCACCTAAAACGGGTCATTTGCTTGTATAACTCTTAAAACATGAGTGTTTGAAAAAATACCCTCCACATCTCAATATTAGCAAAAATACCCCTTAAACCATCAACTTAAAAAAATTACCCTCAAACCAATTAATCATCAACATTGATAATCTAATGTGTAACTGCAACATAAATACTATCGAAAAAATACTCAAAGTTTTATCACCAAGATGATGATTTGTTGATTTAGGGCTATTTTTCCTCAAAGTTGATGATTTGAGAGTTACTTTTGTAAATACTAAGATTTGAGGGGTATTTTTGTACATACCCATCATTTAACCGGTATATATGCAAATAACCCTATTTTATATCGAATCCCCAGATCTTTATGCGTAAATTATTTTACAACAAGAGAAAAAACCAAACTTGCAACGTTTAGTTACACCTAATAATAAATAATTTAGCAGAGTTTTATGACCTTTGGGACCAGAATCTTCTTGAGTGCTTCATCACTTTGTCATCATTAACGCAGAGACCACGTTGATAATGTGCGTGCCGATTTTAGAACTTTGTTATCTTGAGTTTCTTGCAGAGAAAACACTTGTAATAAAGTTGTTCACAATTGGTTGGTTATCAAAATTTTACAATTATTAAAAAAAACAGGCTGCTCAAAAATAGCGATCAGTTTCGTGATTTTTTGATATTTGATAGACCTTTACCAAACCTTATCCGGAAAATTTTGTGTTGCTTGTACGAGCATTTAGCTCTATTATCTTTTGAGGAATAATTTAAAAAATAATAATAATAGTCTGTAGGGCTGAGCATGGTTCGGTCCAAACCGAAAAAACCGATCGAACCGACCTGGAAAAATCGGTTTTATGAATAGGACGGATCGGGTCGGTTTGAAAACTTTTTAACCCGAACCGACCGAATATAGTGCAATACTATCCATTCTGATCTCAAACCCTACCCGACTCGTCCCCAAAGAGTCAAAGACTCAAACCCTAAACTCATTTTCTGAATCATTATGGGTTGAAAACAATATCATTATATCAGTGTTTAATGTTTCATAATCTCCTACTTTGTTGATATCCTTTTTTCTTTAACATAGTTTGTTGTTTGATAAGAAGTTTGATGAAGTTAGAACCGAACAAACCGAACCGAACCGCACCGAACCGACTTGTAACGGTTCGGTTCGGTTTTGAATTATAAGCGGTTCGGTTCGGTTGTTCAAATTTTGGTAAAAACCGAACTGAACCGACCGTTGCACACCCCTAATAGTCTGCCCTTCTTGCATTTAGTTTCTTCAAGAAAATAATACCATTTTCTTTAAGAATTTGGTCTTTTCAAGAGATTTGCTAAATCTAATGTTACATGAAGAAATCGGATGTTAGTTGTTCTCTATTAAGGGATTGATAGGCCGGCGACGATGATGATGATGATGGTGATGTTGATAATAATAAATTAAAAAACTTGTTTCCCCTCTCTATTAAGGGGTTGAAATGGAAAACTCATTCCAGGGAATTTCGATGAAAATAGGTGGAAAACAGTAAGTTGGGATTCGCTGTCACATGGGTTTAGGTTTTCTTAGCGCTATTTTTTATTTTTTTTATTTATTTCTTTTGGGAATTCAACCGTATAGGCCTAAATAGAATGAAGAATAAGCGGTGAAATCCAAGTAATTTTCCTGAAGATAAAAATATCCAAAAGCAATTACTTGATGATCAC